GCTGTTTCAGTCCTATTGTCATCTTGGTAAAATGTCAACATCCATGACACAGGACTTTCTAAATTGTAGAATTTTAAGCAACGGCTGGGAGGGGCAGGGGTCTGAGGTTGGACGCTCGAGTTTACTTCAGAGCAATGCCTGTTTCAGCATTGTGTAAGATTGCTTCAAGGGGCTGGCGAAAGCAGAGGCCTTCCTTCCCAGCAAAGTCTTGACAAACAGCACCAAATTACAGTCTCTATTTATCTTATGGAGGTTTTGGGGTTGTGCTTTACTTAATCGAGTTGGAGCCTGGGATATTATGAGATTCAGACCAAATTTGCATTTTCTGAGAAGCCCCATTGCGGGCTCTGCTCCACTCTCACCTGGACTATTATGGTAGCTTTCTAACAGGCCGTGCATCTACGGTCTGACTCCTACACCATCCAGACCTTAAGCACAGGGAGAGAAAGAGAAGCTTTCATAAAATAAAAATTGCCTTGCATCATTTTCCTCCCTGAAGCCTTCCCTGCTTTTGCCTTTACATCCACTCCGTGAAAGGTGAGCTCCTTGGCTTAGCATCTCTGTGACTCTCCTCTCTCCTCCTACCTGCCTTCAGTCTCCTCATTCCTGATCAATCCCACATGGGCCAGCCCTGGCCTTTGCACACATGGTCTCCAGTCTCTGAATCGCTGTCATGTCTGGGACGCCTGCTGCTACCAGCCCCTGTGGTACCCTTCCTCTGTTGTGCCCAGATCGCGAAGTCCCCAAAGACCACCAAGGAGCCGATTCTGATGCAAACACACTTGAGGGTCGTTTATTCAAGCTCGAGCAGGGGCTCTCAACTGTCACCGACGCAGCAGGTCAAGATTGAGAGCCCCGAATTTTGAATTAGCAGGGTTTTTATAGAAGCTACAGCAAGGTTTCATCTAGCAATTATAATGATTGGTCTACGCTTAGCATGCATGAAGTGTAGATTTCTGATTGGCTAGGCTCATCGGGGGGTTGAGGGGGATTACTTATAGGTTTTACAAGGGAAAAAGGGGACAAAGGTTAGTGGCCCACTGTCACATACTGATGGTCAGCAGACATCCTGACTAATAGTCACGACCACCCTGTGTGGACAGCCAGCACATTAACAGATTGTCCTATAGATAGTGGGCCCAGAACACTTGCTTCTAGGGTAAACAAATGGCTGAGTAATAAACTTAGGAATCTTGTCCTGTTACAGATTGTGTCTCCTGTCCCAGAGCAAACACATTTTAACCATTAATTTGAGAGGCTAGGGGAGTGGTGGATTTTAGCAAAATGGAGTTGCTTTGGTCTCACACCTCCTCTCCAGGGAGACAGCCCACTTCAAAGGCCCATCTAGCTGCCCACCTCCCTGGTCTTTCTCTTTCTATTTTACAGTAAATTGAGGATCTCATCCCCACCGCAGCCTTGCAAGCTCCTGACAAGAGGATCGAGGCTTATTTATGGTGGCAGCCCTGGCGGCACTGGGCAGCACCTCACCTGCAGAAAGTGTCCGGTTAATGTCTGCTGGGAGAATGAGTGGGGGCAAGGAAATGGACAAGCAACTCCATTTCTCCCTAAATTCGAGGGCCATCACACACCACTCAGGCCCGCAGGCCAATTCGGAGCACGGTCACATGTTTGGGCAGAGCCTAGCAGCTCAGCAAACCACAAGTCCCTCTTCATCCTTCCCAGAAAGACACCAGGAAGTTCAGCTTCCATGGTTAACTCCCGACTGGAGGGTAATTCCCTGGTGTAAAAATCGGAGACAATGGCCTCGTGACAGAAGGCTGCCTCTGGTGTCACATTTACTGTGATGCTGGGGAATGCCCAAAGTTTGTATTTCCCAGAAGGGCTCATTCCTTAATCGCCGGGGTAGCCTCCAGCTGTCACATGGGCTGGGAGTCTTCCCTCACCTTGCCACTGACGCTTGCTCTCTCTGTGAGGGAAGCCGCCATCTCCCCTCTGCCCAACATAAACAGAAGTCAGTTTTCTGTTGTTGTTGCTCGTTTGAACTGAAGGGCCTAGTGTGAGGGGGGGTTAAGTCAGCCCAACAGCGCTATTAAACTTTGTTTAAAGGAAACTCCACGAGGCCCTGTAACAATGGCTTGTTATTAGATCTTCCCTTGGGTTTTAGAACAATCTCCCACATGTACCCTTAGTTTGCACAGAGAGGAGGCAAAAGGAGGCACTGTTGGCACCTAGAAGGCACAGCCTGTCTGCCTTCTGCCAACTTCCATGTTGTCAGACAGCGGGTGTCCCCATCCTCAAAGCTGGCCCGCTTCCCACTAAGCGCACCCTCTTTGTCCTCCCTCTGAAGGACCCACTTCCCTAACCCCTGCCTCTAGCTCCCTGGAGCCCTAGGCCCACGGAGCCTTCATTTGTTTCTCAGCCAGAGCCTGCTGTGTGCAGGGATTCGGGCCTTGGGGCAAGTCAACCACCGTTCCATCTTCCAGGAACCGCAGTCAGGCTCGCAGGCGAGGATGCCAAGTCAGCCTGGGAAGGGCCAGGGTAGCAGTCCCAGGGAGTCCGTGGGCCTGGCGGAGCGGCCCTAAGCATGTCCGAGAAGGGTAGATGGGTAGGGAAGTCTTCCTGGGTGGATTTGCTGCCTGAGACTTGGGATCCTAAGGGACTTACCAGATGCAGAAGAGCATGTGCAGTGCAAAGGTGGGAGCTGAATTTGGGGGTACTTTGGGGACAGGGCTTTGAGAAAGCAGATGAGGAGGTGCATGGCTAGAGGGAAGGGATAAGGCATCAGAGCTATCCTGGGCCCCCACAGGTGGGAGGGAAACTGGCATTAACACTTGGCAGGCACAGGGAGACGGCTGATGTCGGGTAACAAAGAGTGTTCTGGGGGTCTGCAGCAGGACGGGAGCCCTTTCCTGGTGGGCTCCGGTGAGTTGACCTTACAACTGTGGCAGGGACTGGAGCAGGTTGGACTAACAGCAGTCATTTTTGAAACTTCTTTCACAATGAATCTCTTTCTTCAAATCCAAACTTCAGGGTAGGGGACATAAAAGCAGAACTGGTCTGACTACACAGTGGGGGGGCGGGGGGGCAGGGGGCTCGGAATCCCACAGAGGTGCTGCCCCCTGCCTTCAGCTCAGAGAATCTTTGATGTTCTGGGAAGCTCCCATTTGCATGCTTTAATCCCACTCTACTCTTCCCGCTTTTCCCCACATCCTCTCCTGAGAAGAGAGCACAGAGCGTGAGAGAAGGTTTAGAATGCTTATACAGCCAACATTTGTTGGGAGCCTACATATACCAGCCCCGCTGTAGGCAGTAGGGAGAAAGCTTAGCATGAGACATACACGGCCTTTCCTGTTTTCACAGTCTACTGGGGGTGGGGGTGGAGTTGCAAACACATTCCTTACACCTGGGATAAGGTGGTGGCGGTAGGCTGGCTGGGGAAACACGGTCCTGCTGCACCCTAAGCATCAGCGTCCTGGCTGAGCCAGTACTAGAATTCGGGCCTCCCATACTTTTCTTTCCCTGCCCTGAGCTGCATACAGTGGGGGTTAGCACGGTGATGGCTCCCAAGATGTGAGTATCCGGAAGAAGGTTCTCAGATGAAGGCTACAGCGGTCATGCCTTCCAGTGAAGGAGTCTAAATCCTGGCGCTCTGGCGCACAGCCTGGAACAGTTCCTGGGCCCATTCATCCTCACCAGAGGGGCCCCGAGGCTCTGCAGAGCAGAGGCCTGCTACAGGCAGGTTGGGGCCCACAGCAAGGGGAGCTGCAAGCTGACCCTGGTGGGTGCTTCTTTAGGTGCAGTGCCCAGGATGGAGCTGTGAGACCCAGCAGCGGAGCAGATGGAATCTCAGCCCCCACTGAGCAGCCTTGGACCAGTCGCTCCTCTCTCTAGGCCTCTGTGTCTTCTATGACTGGGCTTCTCTCCAGCTCCACGAAGTCCTAACTCTGTGAGCCTTCTCTGTTGAGAGGATGAGAGGTGTGTGTAGGGGACCATGGTCGCCTGCAGGGGACTCTGTGGTTGAGGAAAGGGAGATGAAAGAGGAGCGACTTGGCAGTGTCTGAGGGGAGCATTTGGGCCAAAAGGCCGCGTGCTGAGGGTGCAATCACAGCAGCTCCAAAGGAGCTGGAGCCAGGCCCATCTGGCCACAGGGTGTGCAGGGAGGAGCCAGTGCCCCCATGGCCTGAGCCCGCGGCCACCAACCACGGACTGCACGGATCTCCCTGACCCCTGGAAGATCAGCAGGCCCTTGATCTGCATCTTCAGAGGCCAAAGGATCTCTAGACATAAGTGAGCTCTAAGCGTCTCACGCTCTTTACAGAACCTTGTAGCTGCAGAAGCTGGACTGGAGCTCAGTTCTGCTGGGGTCTTTTCACTCCGCCATCCCCCTGGGTTGGGAGGGGCGTGGGGCTGACTCCCACTTCCACCAGTGAGGGCACCCCGTTCCCTACCAGCATCTATATTTGTGTGTGTTTTTTTTTTTTTTTTTTGGTACCGGGGATCGAACTCGGGACCTTGTGCTTGTGAGGCAGGCGCCGGAACCACTGAGCTAAATCCCCAGCCCCCAGCATCCATATTTAAGATGCTAGGTTTATTACAAGAAACTCAACTGCTCTCTTGGGTCCAGAAACGAGTCTGTAGGTAATCACACCCAACCCTCCCTGTTCCCACTGCCTGACTCCAGTGCTCCTCCCCAGACACGGCGCTGCCTGGGTCCAGGGCTGGAAGACCTCCAGAGGAACAGGGTTCTATTAGGAGAGAGAAACGTCTATGGACAGCGAAAATGGGCTGGGGCTGGGTGAGGAGGGGCCAGGCGGCGCGTTGAGGGTAAGGATAGCCCTCCTTGCTTTCTTCAGGGTCAGAGGCCTTGCCGTACGACTGGCGTCGGAGCAGTGGGATCTGATGTGAGAAAGGAGGACGCGGTCAGGGAGGTGGGCTCTCACTCTGTTATGACCAAATGCAGGGGTTGAGCTACAGACAAGGGCAGGGCTGTCTAGGGCTGGGAGGCCACCTGGGAAGAGGACGGACGCAACACGCAGAGCACTGGCATGCAAGAAGACTTTATTTCCCCCATCCCCAGCCCCACAGCCCAGATGGTGTGGCACACACTTCTGGTGAGCCTGGCGGGCAGGTGCAGGGTGGCTTGGCCTCCCGATTAATGGCGCTGGCCGCTCTCTCCGAGGCCTGGCCCATGGCTGTGGCCATGACCACGGGGATGGTTCCCCTCATGCATCTTCTCATGGGAGGCATTGATCAGCCTGGCAAGCAACATGGTGAGCTCCTCGAAGCTCAGCTGCTGGTCGAGGTTTGTGTCCAGGTCCTCCATGATGTCATTTATGGCTGCTTCATTTCTACTCTCATTCTGTGGGCGGAGAAGAGACTGCTGTTAGGGCTGAGTGCGGCCAGGGATGGGGATGAGTGAGCACAGTGTGTGTTGGATGGCAAATGCAGAGGGAGGCCTGGGCCCTGGGACTCAATTTAAAAATTAAAATGGCTCTGAGCTGAGGGCCCAGGTTGGAGTGGAAGCTTGTGCTTCACACTTGCCAGCTTATCCCCCAGGCATCCCTGCAGCTTGGGGAGTAGGAGTGTCTTTATTTTACAGAGAAGGTCCTACAAGGATTAAGTCCGAAAATGTCCCCGTATCTGGCCCGCATAACTTTCAACAAGCAGAAGTGGCATCTTCCTTGAGGAAGGCTCAAGGAAACCACGTCTTAGGAAGCAGATTTGACTTAGAGTCCAGTGCTGTTCCATTCCCTCCTCAGTCACTCCCGCCCTCTCCCCTGGAGGATTGGTAAAGTTCACTCTCGCCTACACAGTAGGGACGCACTTAGGAAAACCAGGCAATGTGGGATCTTGGCTGAGGGCAGAGAGTAGAGTAGGTGCTTGGTGCCCCCAAAGTACTGAGGATTTAGGTGGGGCAGAGAGCACCATCTGTGTCCAACTCTGCTGCCCACTGGCCGGGTCATCTCAGCAGTGCCCTGTTCTAAGCCCAAGCAGCCTATTGTGAAGCACTCAACTCTGGCAGGGGATGGCAGCGAGGGGTGGAGCATGCCGGGAATCCACAGGGCAGCCTTGCCCACGCAGCCTCCTGGCTGCACCTTCTCTGTCCATCCTGACTTTGCGCTCTACGTGCCTGTGACCACCACCTGCGGGAGCTGCCAGTGTCCCTCAGGCCTCCACAGCCCCATCTGCATCTCCCCAGGGTGAGGGAAAGGACGAGGGACCTGCCCCAGGGCAGCTGCACCCAGGAATGGAACCGACCCTGAGACCCACTCTGCCCATCCTTCTTAGTCTAGGCCTCTGTTTCCCCAAACTTGAAAAGAAAATGAAAAGGCTGGTGGAAGGGATCTCCCTGTGTCCTGGCACCGCCCAGTCCTTTTCAGATTGGGGGACGACACCGATGTTCTAGTACACGCTTTGCACTCCACTTGCCAGGCTGTGCTGGCTGCTTTGTACATGCCCTTTATTCCTGTATTTCTGCCCGGCGCCCTTAGGAGGAGAAAAGCCCATGTTCTCTGCCGAAGCTGAGTCCCTCAGCCTCCTGCCAAGGGTCCTCCACTGCCTCAGCACAAATGTCACCTCCTCAAGGAGGCCTCACTCAGCCCAGAAATCTCCTTCTCCCCCCCCCCCCCGCCGGGCACTTACTGGCATTGGATCTACTGTGTTCTTTCCTGTGTGTCTCCCACTCTGGGATAGTAGGTTCCCTATTCATGCCTACCTCCCTGTGCTCCAAACAGGGTCCCACACGGAGCAGGTGGTCAGTCGAACAATCCCTGGTTCTCTGGACTCAGTTGGTGCATCTAACTGTGAGCGCCTCTCGTGACTCCTCCAGCTGCCTCTGGATGGCAGGGACTAGAATTCTCCCCCGTCTGCTCAGACTGCCCTGTGCCCCATCTCACCTTAGCCAGGCCCTACCTTGAGGAAGTTCGGCAGCTCCCTTTGCACCAGCTGTTTGAATTCCTTCTTGCTCAAGGTGTCTAGGTTCCCCTCCTGTGTGGAGTAACGGTGGAAGGTCTTGATAGTGGTATCTAAGCTGCGTTCCAACAGTGACATCTCACTGGTCATCTTTTTGCACTCTGTGAAAAATGAAGAAACAAGGGTGTAGGCGCTTAGAAGAAGAGGCCACCGTGCTTTCTTGACAGGTCCTCTGGCTGCAGCAAAGGAAGAGGAGGGGATGGGCAAAGTTAAAGACGAAGCTCAGGCTGCCACTTAACCAGGGAGATGCTCTGTCCTACACACGTGAGAAAGGAATTTTGGTTACCTAGACAGTATAAAAAAGCAAAGCATTTGAGGCCAGGAAGCTCTAAGAAAGTGTGAAGGAAGGTATGAAATGGGCAGGATCCACCAAGGAGGGCCTCCAGGAGGAGGGTTGGGAGAGAGCTGGAAGCGGAAAAGAAAGACCTGGCCAGCAGCTCACGTACCAGAGCCCAGCAGATACACGGCGCTGTCCACAGAGCTGTGCTGCCCTGGCATTTATAGGCAGCCCTGGGCAGGAACAGGAGGCTTCCACGGAAGATTGCCTCAGAGGCCAGCCCTGTGGCAAACTTGCCAGGGAGGGGCTGGCGCGGGACAGGAAGTGTTCACATAATACAGCTCTCTTTGCCCCGTTTTGTGAAACTCCCAGGCCTGCGCCTGAACTGGCTTGAGAGGAAGCTGCTTGGTTAATTCACTTCCCCTCCCCACCAGAACCCATCCCTTCTCTTCCCGAGCAAGCCAGGAAGCCTGCTGCTCTCCACTCCCCTCACACGCCCTGTCCCCACCCGGGAGAGCCTCCCCTTCCTGGGCACTCTGTCCCCCCTGTAGCCCAAGGCTGGGCTGCACCTTCCCCTGTTTGGGCCTGGGCCTGTGGTAGTGCTCTCGGGAGGGCTAGGGCCTGGGGCGGATCAATAGACCCCTAGGGTGGGAGCCAGGGTTAGAAAGACCTTCAGGTAATCAACATTTTTGCATTGCAGACTAAGCCTGATGCCCAGAGAGGGTCCTGGGTGAGATCACAGAGCTGGTTGGTGACACAGCAGGACTGGGACTCAGACCTCCTAGTTCCCGGCTAAGGCAATTTTACAGGGTCGAGTCCTGCCTACCCTTCATGGTTGAGTTCAAATGCTGCCTCATCTCGAAAGCTGCTCCTTGGGAAATAATCTCTTTCTCCAAGACAATTCCCGCCACCACCCTCCTTCAGCTGTAACAGCCGCTTTCCTGGTATAAAGTGATTTGCATATTTTCCCTCTGTCTAATAAGTGGCTGTCGATCCCTGGAGACAGGTCTTTATTCATGCTCATCTCCTCCTATGTATGCAGCCAGGGCTGGGCACCACTGCACATGCTGAATCATCTCGTTTCCTTGAGGGCATCCCTGCCCAGCCCAGGAAGTGTGCACGGAAGGCCTACCTTCTGGCATTCTCCTTGTCCTCTTGATCACTCCAGTCCCTCTCCCTGCATCAGGGAAGACATTTTTCTTGTTTCACCTCAGTAAGTCCTTCTGCCTAATCTTCACGCAGCCTTTTCCCGCTGCCCCGCTCCCTCCCTGGCCCGTGCAGGCCCGCTGTGTGCTAACCCTGGCCTTGAGCACTGCCTTGCACTGCGGAGGCTCCACACACAGTAGCAGTGAAGAGTTCACACTGACCTTAGCCAACTGACTCAACTTTGCTTCGCGTCCCTTATCAGTAAAATATGATAATAACAGGACAACTTTGATGACTGTGACAGTGCACGTAAAGTCAGGGAGAGCTCAGTGAATAAGAGGCATTATGATTCGTTACTTTTAAAAATTAGTTTTGTTACTTTTCATTCATTTGTACAAAAAGTATTTGTTGGGCACCGACTGTGTGTCAGACAGTACCGCCCCCTACTGGGGAAATGTGGTGATTGCATCACCAACACAGACACATAATCTTACACATTCTGTCTTGCTAAATACATTTTAACTCTTGGCAGCTAGGGACAGGGCTGGCGGAGTGCTGAGCATAGGGCAAGTGCTTAATCAATGCTTGCTAAGCGCTTGAATGAACAGTGTGGACACAGTTGAGGAACACTTGAGTGGAAACTTCATGTCCATCTCCTAACAGAGGCTGCTCCCCAATTGCTTTAGCAGAGGAAGAAGCACAGGGGACAGCGAGCCCAGAAGCTGTGTGCTCGCCCTCCTCTTCCAGCCAGAAACCTCCAGTTTTAGGGGCCGTACAGGCTGCGCTACGGATGCCTTTCCCGTTTGCTCCCATAGCGCCCCCTGCTGGCGGTGTTGAAGAACTTTCGCCTGCACGGAGGCGCTTCCCCAGGCTGGGCCTGAGAACATCAAGAGCACCTGCAGGGTTGAACAGGACGGAAGAAACAAAGATAGAAAGGAGACAGGGAAAGTCATAATTTTAAAACTGCACTTTTAAGAAAACTGCAGCTTCAGTGCAGAATCAAGATTACTCAAGGCTGCAAGGCCCTTTTTTCTCCCAGCAACATCACTCCAAAAAATCCTTAAAGGGTTTAAAAATACTCCAAGCCTGTAAATGGGAACCGAGCCTTGCACCTGTAAACTGGGCCTAACTAAGCTTTGCCTCCCGCAGACTTGCATGCTTAGGCAACGGCACTAAGCGGCTCTGAACTTCAAAGACTCGTAATTTGCATCCTACCCCAGTCCATCAGCATAACCAGAGAGACATCAGGAATACACATCTGAGATGCTCCTTTGAGGACACCCCCAAACACGCAAGTCCCCCAGCCCCAGGCCACAGGAAGCCTTACTCTACGAGCACACCTGTCCCCTTCTGAGTGTGTGCTTCTTTCTCTCTCACATTTGTTCGCCTCTCATTGACCCACAACCCTTGGCTCATGTCAGTGAGCCTCCAAACCACCTGAGGGTGGGGTGGGTCGAGGTCCCTAGTTCCTCCTTAGGGACCTCTTTGGACCCTGTCTGGTGTCAGGACTACTCGGGCAGCTGATGTGGGGTCTCTGGGTTGGGATCCTGGGGAGAAGGGGAGCCGTGGTGAATGGAAACATCCCGCCTCAAAGGGATGGCCGGTACTCTGCCTCCACCTGCAGCGAAGGCTGCACCAGGCCCACGTGCTTCTGGGTCCCCTGAACATCCAGGGAATCTGGATTTTTACGTGAAACTCCCAACAAATTTTAAAGAAAAGCAAAGGCATTAAAATGATGTGGAGTGAGTGGCAAGCAAGACTGCAGGTGAAGGCAGTGACTCTGCTCTGCTGTGGAGTTTGGGACTCTGTTCCTCCAGGCGGGGTCACTGTCTCCCTCCCTCCCTGTCTTCTGGAATTGAGCAAAGGCCTCACTCAGCAGATTAACAGTTGTTGAATGAGGAAGTGCAGGAAACGGGTGAGTGTGAAGTAAAGACAGGCCTGTTGGCCTTTGTCTTGTGGCTTTCTGCAGAGTCGAGACACCAAGTGGGATCAGTGTTGGTTCAAGGTGAAAGGAAATAGGAGGAGGAGGGAGACAAGGCTCAGCCACTGGTGGGAGTGAGCCTAAAACAGGGTTCAAAGCAGACAGGCCTTTCCACGGGCTACCCAGGCCCAGGTGAGCAGCCCAGGTGATCCCAGGGGTGGGTGGCTGGGTCTCCTCAGGGTGCGATTGCCCAGGGACACTCAAGAGCCTCCTGCTAGGCTACGACTCGGGCCATGTTTTTCTGGCTCTGGACAGTGACTCTGGCTGTGGTCCCTGGGAGGAAGGGGAGTGGTTTAAGGAGAGGGCTCAAATTGTGTAAATAAACAAGGCGAGCAGAGGATTTGGAAGCTGCCACCAAGTCCTTGGCTCCGTCCCCAGGCCCAGGAGTAGGAGCGGCCTGTGTCTTTCCCTTCCTGTTGCCCTGCTGTGTGGCCCTCCCAGCATTGGGCCTGTCGGTGTTGTACTGGGCACCACACGTGGGACTTTCCCTGCTCTGTATCCTTGGGCCTATGGGGCTTTGTTGAAAGTGTACAGTGGCCTGGGCCTGGGTTCTAATCCTGGCTTTGCTGGGCTTGTTGGAGGCCATTAGCAGTCTTTTCCATGTTTCCACGTGGGCCTCAGTTTTCTCATCCATTAAATGAGAGAGTTGGGTCAGCCGGCCTTTAAGTCATTCCCAGCACTGACTCCCGACTTGGACTCGTGTTGGTGGGCTCCAGGGCACTGGGTGACTCCTGGTTTCCCTACTGCGCCCCCAGCAGGCAAAGTCAGGCTCTGCTCCTTACGGCTGCCATCTGCGCTCAGCCTCTCCCAGGCTTCACACAACCTGCCTCTCGCTTCACCCTCTCCCCTCCTTGCTGGGAGCTCTGCGTGTGGACCTCCTGACCCAGCCCCATCCAGGGACGGCTCAGCCGGTCATCTGCGGTAGCTTCCGGCTGTCGACCCCCCCTCCTGGGTTCTGCCAACACCACGCCCCCACTGCCTGGCCATCCTAGGTCTCCCCTGTCCCCACATTGGGCAGCTCCAGCACCCACGGTGAGGCCACTGGCAGCGGCGCTTCGGGGACCCTCACCCTGAAGCTTCCCCAAATGTGAACACCACCCCTGAGCACCCTCAGGCTCCCTTCTCCGTCCCGGCTGCTATTTTCTCCAGTCTTGCCTCCCTTCCTGTTTCCTGGCTGGTACACACACACACACACACACACACACACTCGCTGAGCTTCCAGATCCCTCCACAAGGCCCCAGGGCTATCTCAGGCTCTGTCCTCGGCTTCCTCCGCCTGTCAGGAATCCCCTTGAAGTCTACACCCCTCTGTAGAAAATAAGGGGGTTCAGACACTTCAGGGAGGTGATCACCGGGCCTGGCTGGGTCAGGACTCCGGCGAGAGCGGCGCCTCCCCTTCCTCCTGCCCGGGTGGAAGCTCTGCCTGCGCGACATCCGATAAGCGCCTGCAGAGTACGGCGAATGCCTGCCTCGGATGGACGGAACTTATCCTTCAAAGATCACTTCGTGTCATCCAGAACGCGCGCATCGCGGGAGAGCACAGAGAAGAAAGGAGGAGCGAACGCCGGAAAAGCGGTAGTGGAGATTCCCGTGGGCGGAGGCGGCGCCAGCGCCAAGGAAGAGCGCGTGCTGCCCCCTGGTGACCCGCCTGTGTCAGGACAGCGTGGCTGTCCCCTGGCCTGGGACCTTTCGTGCTTGTAGAAATTTTGAGTATCACAGAAAGTTTCTGTGGATTATATCTCTCAATATTTACCATATTGCAATTTGAAATAATTTAAAATATTTAATAATTTATTTAAAGTAGCATCGAAGAACCCAATACATATCAACACGTTTATTAATTTGAAAAATACATATATATTACAAAGCTAGTGAGAATGATGTCTTTTTTTTGTGGTATTGGGGATCAAACCCAAGACTTTCACTCTTAGCTATATCCCAGGCCATTTTAAAATTTTTATTTTGAGACAAAGTCTCACAAGTTGCTAAGTTGCCCAGGCTGGGCCTGAACATGCCGTATTCCTACTTCAGCCTTCCAGTACTGTCAATTTTAAAAAACATTTTTGCAGATCTGTTTTCTGTGTAACTTAGAAGAATATGTCTGTATTTTCATACCTATTTCTGCATTCAACTTGTTGCTAGATGTTGTTTTGGTTAAACATATAGTCTCTCCCAGATAAGTACTTGGAAGGGGGAGAAATCTATTATCAGCTTTTACAAATAATTGAAGATACTTCCTCTTTTTTTGAAGATACTCTCCTTTGATCCTATGCCAAAACTCAACTGTGATAAAGGGTTTTTGCAAAGTAGAATATGAAATCATATAAATGAATGTTTTTGTTTCATTTGAAATCAATTGGGCTGTCTTGAAATTTGAATGAAACTTTTATCTAAGTGTAATTTTGTGACTTAATACATTAGTCATTTGGAAAATATTGGTTCAGTAACTCGTGAACATCTTCTAAATGCTGACCAAGTTTATCATCCAAAGTGTGTACATGTTCACCTGTATATATGTTTATATGTATATACTTATATGTGTGTGTGTGTGTGTGTATGTCAATATCACTGCTTATTCACTGATAAGAGCAATCGGTAAAGAATGTATTTGGAAGCTGTCAAATGATAGTAGTAGACATAAATTTCCAAATTCCAATTTTTACTTGAAAGCTCTAATTTTATTAAGCTAACAAATTCCATTAGTTATTTTCCTTGAAATCAAAGCTTACTTTGTTCATTTTAAAAAAATGCCTGGCATAGACTTAAGTCTGAGTATCCAGAGTTTGATCGCTTTCTGTTTTTTCAAGTAAAAATGGTCTTCTGTGGGAGACATGGGTTAGCTCAGCGCCCAAATCAATCATACAAGTGGTTTTCCTTGAGACAGTCAGGCTTGAGATTTTCAATTTAAGACGCCTGCCATGAAGGAGGGGCTCTGACGCCCACCGGTCCCCTGTCCTCACAGGGGCATCTTGGGAAATTCAGGCTGAAGTAGAGCCAGCCCCTCCCTCAGCCCCCAGGTGAGGCACGAGGCAGGGACACATGGGAAGGGAAGGGTTCAGCTGTGGCAGGAGGGGACAGAGAGCCCACCTGGTACAGCGGTGAGACTGAGGAGGGGCTGGGTAAGTGTGGTGATGGGTCCAGGTCATTCAGGACTGGGGAGATTCTCTTAGGAATTTAGCTCTAAGTTCACAGGACCAGGGAGGAACAACCCAAGCCACTGTTCCTCCCTCCCTCCCGATGCCCCGTGTAGGGCAGACATGTGTCTCAGGGGGCTTGAGTCCCCAGGAATCTGTTGATGTCTGGACAGGACAGAGCACTCGCTGGACCTGGCAGACAGCCACGCCCAGCCTCTTTTGGCCTTCAATCCCCAGCTGCCTCTTGTGGAAAGAAGCTGAGCATCTGCACCTCTCTCCCTGCCCCTGGATGCAGGCCCGCAGCATTCTTAGGTAAGGGCTGTCCTGCTGCTTGGGAAGCACAGACAGCTGAGGCCTGGAGAAACAGTGTCTCCCGGAGGTCAGAGACTTCAGATTCCTAAGGTACTGGTCCTGGGCTCCAGCTCTGCTCCCGAGGCATCTGTGCTGGGCGGAGGTCAGCAGTCCCTGCTCTGTCATAGGCTCCAGCCTGGCCTAGGCTCCGGACTGGGGAGCCGTGGGTGAGCCCTGTGCTCTCTCAAGGGCCTCTTTCAGGGAGCTTTTCTGGGAAACCTGGGCCTGAGAGTGAGACTGACTCACCAAGGGCAGCGTCTCTGGGTATGGGACATTTCCAGGGTCTCCGTGGCTGCCCCACCCTCTGAGAGATGAGCGTTGGAGGCTCCCTTGGGAGATGTGCATTCTGGGAAAGTGTCATGTGATGCTTCCTCTGGGAGATTCGCCACCTCAGGAGGCAAGAGCTGCAGACCATGACATCCGGCCAGGACGTGCTCTACCACCACCAAGCCAGCCGTGGCAGAGGGGCTGGAGGTGCTCGGCATGGAGGAGGCTTCCTGTGGTGACACCTTTAATGACAAGGATGGGAGTGGCCAGAGGGAGGTGATGGATGTGCAGCCTGCAGGGTCACACTTGGGGGCTGCCTCTGGGAAGACAGTGCTCTGTGTCTGTCCCTCCACGCTGCCCCTGTGGAGAGGAACCGGCGAGTGACTTCAATCCACAGCCTTCAGACCCCTGCAGCAGCTCTGCCTCCGTGGACTGGGAGTTCCCAGATGCCAGGGACAGAGCCTCCAGGCCCCCAGAATCCTCACATCGAGGGGCCTTAGTAAGGCCTGGGCGGGGAAGGCCTCCCGGAGCGTTGGGCAATCGTGCCCTTTCCCAGGGAGGAGGGCCTGGGCCTAGTCACGGGGCGGCTGCCAGGTGCTCTCAGCGCCAGTCTGGTTTCACCTGAGCTCCCCTCAGGGCTGAGGACACAGTCGGCTCCCAGCCTCAGGTCTCTGTCCTCCTTCTCTGTTCCGGATCCAGGGCTTTGCTCTTCTCTCTGGGAAGCCAGAGCCCAAGTGCTCCCCTCCCAAGGAGGGAGTGCCCTCTTAGTGTGAGAGAGAGCAGAGCCTAGGAGGAGGAGGAGGAGGAGGAGGAGGAGGAGGAGGAGGAGGAGGAGGAGGAGGAGCAGCTGGAGGAGGGGCAGCTGGAGGAGGGGCAGGACCTGGAAGCCAAGTCTGAAGGGAGGAGCTGGCAGCCAATGAGGGCCAAGTGGACCGAGCCCTGACCTACTGCGCTGGGACAGTGCAGGGCCCACAGGTATTTCTGAGTGAGTGTGAGTGTTTGTTCTCTGCACCCCTCTCCTAGAAGGGGCTGGACCCTAGCAGATGAGGGCTAAAATCAGATATCCTCTGCCCTAGAACTGGGATCCACTTTACCCCAGTTCTTCTATGAAGGAGGGGGTCACCGATGCCCCGCCAGTCCCCGAGGGTTCTTGGAAAAAGCCAGGCCAAAGTGGAGCCCCCTTCCCCAGAGAGGGATGGAGCGAACCCCTCCTTCTCCCTCCTGGTGCCCTTGTCCAGGACAGACATTTGTCTCCAGGGTCCTGGCCTGGGCCAGCACAGGGTCCACAGCATTGCGGACTGTGAGTGTGAGTGTTTCTTGTTCAGAGCCCTCCCTGGCCCTATCTACCGGGTCCTGTACCCCGCTGGGAGGGAATTCTCTGTAGGAGACGCATCCCAGGGAGTTTGGATTTCTGTTTGGGGCCATTCCTGTGCCTTATAGAAATGGGGGCTAACAACCCTACGTGGCAGAGTTAACGTGAGGACTAATGTGGGCCCAATTTAATGTGCACGTACAGTCCTCACACACAGTGAACACGTAGTGAAACTCAGCTGTCAGGGGGCTAGGATGTGATGTTTGCGCCCGCTCTATGCACAGCACCCTGAGAAGGCTGAGTGGGCCCTGGCTCCCAGGGGGCCCACAGGGTGGTGGTGGACGAGAAGGACCGCAGCGCCGTGCGGTCTGGGGGTTTCCGTTGGCAGAGCACGCGTGGTCCTGTTAACGGTCAGCATCCCCCAGGGACACTGTTCATCCAGGGCTGCTGGCCACACCATCCCCATTTGGTGTCCCAGGACCTGCGAGGATGCTGCCCTGGCTCCTTGTCTTCTCTGCTCTGACTGTCCAACCCTTGGGTAAGTTTCCTCTCTGCACTAAGAAGGGTCCTCCTACAGTCTTGTAATAAGAATTGCTTAAATGCTTGCCCTTCCCTTTATGTGTACAGCACAGATCTTGGAGTCTCTAGGCCTGGGCTGCATCTAGTAATGATTTTTAATAAGTTATTCAGCTCTTTCAATCTTAATTTTCCTACCTGCAAATCGAGATATGCTATCAGACTTCCCAAACTTATCGTGGGGATTACATGAGATAATGTACATGGAGGACTTAGTGCTTGGCCGGCAAGAGCAAATAAATGGCAACGATGATTATCACACGCCATTCAGAGTCTAACCAGACGAAGGCCTGTGCTTGCCAGTAAGGGACAGCTTCTCGTGGGTTAAGAGCATCCTTTGCTGGGGGTGGGGCTTTGATTGATGCCGGTGCCCACATTCATGGCCTTTTGGCTGGGAGCATGGGTTTAGCAAATGCTCCCAAATGAACAGGGTCTGGTCTGACTGCAGGTGATTCTACCTGCTTCCCACTCAACCCTCCGAATGGCTTCCACTGTGTCAAATTCACACCAGAGAGGACTTCGTGGTTTTGAGGTTCCCGAATACATTTCCAGGTTGTGTTTTGCTCATTGTGTGTGTAAGATGCCCCTCGTGAGACTAGGTTAATACACTGACTCCCTGTCCTATTAGCTCTCATCCTGGAGAACGACTAGGATCTGGCGCTGAGGGGTCCGTGCCCGGAGTCGGTGTTGGAGAAAGCCATGCCAACTGCTGCTCCTCTAGCCACTTCACAGGGGTTTCCTGGACAGAACCTGGGGATCCGGGCAGGGAAGAGAGACAGTGGGCTGGGGCAGTGGCTGTTTCTGGCCGGAGCCCACGCCACTGACACATCTGGTACTGCAGGTTTCCAAAGACCAATGAAAATAGAGTATTCTTTTGCAGGTGTTTCCTCCTGGGACAAAACACAAGAGAAACAAATGTCCAAAGGGCTGCAGCACCTGTTTGGAAACATCTCCCAGCTCATTGAAAGAGGCAAACTGGGTCTTGATGGTGAGGAGGCTTGGGAGCCAGTGGGGCTTCTCATGTGGCCAGAAATGTTTCTCAGGTCTGCATCGCCACATGTGACTGGAATGGGTGAAAGGAAGTGAGTTGCAGATGGGAGCACCGGTCAGCCTCTTACCCAGATTGTCCTAGGTCCTTAGGAGGTAGGAGTGGGCCAGGAGGGAAGGAAATCCAGGAAGGGAGAAGTAGCCTCTGCGGTAGATGGAGACCCAGACCCTGACCTCAGGGGGTGCAGAGACTGACGGGGGGACACAACCAGCACCTGGAGAGAGCCCTAGGCTGAGCAGGAGATGCAACCCCACCTCCAAGGGAGTATTCAGGGTCCAGGAGCACACACTGAGGCTGAGGTCGGAGGTGCTGAGGTGGCATGGTGAGAGGCCACTGAGACTTTCCCCAGGGATAGTGGGTGACATGGAGCTGTTCCTTGAAGTAGGGACCTGGGGTGGCCCAGGGAGGGAGCTGGGAGCTGGCTCTGTCTGTTGTGGGGGACATGTGGGAACCGGGACCATGTAGGCTCCATGGCTGCTACAGACTCTGAGGGGTGTCAGTGGGACAGGGATATGGGGTGAGCAGGGGAGAATGTACCTGCCTCCCAAGGGCCTCTCCCTAGGGCTCTTTTACCCCTCTGGGGCAGATGCGGCCCCACCAGCAAGTGGAACCCAGGTAGCTAATGTGGCTCCCAGGGGCAGAATGCACCAAGTGACATCCACGGTCCCCTCACAGATGTCTTCACAATGGTCTCTCGCAAGGAGTGGGGGGCAGAAGCTGTTGGCTGCAGGTCTCGGCTGACCGTGCCAGTGAGTGTCCTTGTCACACACCACGTCCCTGGACTGGAGTGCCATGACCAGGCTGCCTGCAGTCAGAGGCTGCGGGAGCTGCAGTCCTATCATGTCCACAACTACAGCGGCTGTGACGTGGCCTACAAGTAAGAGGCTGGGTCCGGGCCTGATCAAAGCTGCTCTCCTGTCCCTTCCTATCTGTTTTCTTCACCTTCTTGGTGGGGGGTATGTAGGTTTTATAATGAGTAGAATGCTTAAGACCCGCGTGGAATCCTAAATTCTTTGGAATTTTCTGCAATCTCCCAAAGGAAGCAAAGAAGGTTAAGTAATAACTGTGCTTTCTGCTCATCCATCCCTGGCTTGACCAACACGTCACAGGTTGTAGATGAGACTTACTTGTATTTGCACGCCTTCGCTATCCAGCAGCTCTGGTTTGGTAGGACAGGTATTTCCACCCCCACAAGGTAGGGAGGTTGTTTGATTTCCTCAGGGTCACAGAGCTGGGAAGGCACGGGCTCCTCCTTTGGTGAAGTAAACCTTCCGCTGGTTGCCATAATGACCTATCCAGGAAACCCACACCTGACTTTGGCCGGCTGCGGACAGCTCCTGGGCACGGTGATGACTTCCTGCCTCAGGTGCTATAGCATCCACGGTTTCCCAAGTGGTTGATGGGAAGGGGAGTTACTCAGCCTCCGGGTGTTGGGGGTTGATGGGTAATCTCCTCAGCCCTAGCCCCTCTAAGGGACAGTTCCAAAGTGCACGTACACAGTCCCTCAAAAGGACATGGAGGGGTGGGTGGTGGCCCCCGATGCCACCGAACTCCTGCCTGGTTGGTCACACTTTATTGGCTTTCTCCCTGCTCTCTCACTCTGGCTTCTGGAATCATTTCCCAAATGCACTGCTTGCATCCATGTCCTTGTTTTAGGTTCAAGGTCTCTGTGAGTGAGTGACACTGCAGGGAGATCAAATATGTGGGGATTTCACGGGCAGCATGCACTCTGGAAAGAGGAGGAAAACCATGTTTAGGGAAGCGTGAGGTCAGGGGAGACTCTAGCATGTGGGGTTTGGTCCTCATTAGTAACTGCAGGTTTCAGCCCCCCCCCCCTTCCAAGACCTAGGGTGATCCATGTGCGACTGTGTCCCGGTACAGAAGGAGATAGCCGATGTGCGAGTAGGTCCTTTTGGATGTTAGGGACCCAGATAAGTGAGCTCCTCCCTCCTGGTCTGGGAAGCAGCCATGCATATTCCTCTTACACAGCTGGAGACTGCTTTTCTGAGCCGGGGTAAGGGGTTTCCTCTCTCAGGAATGTGCTATCCTGCCAGCCACTACCTCTGCCTTTCCTCGCTGCACAGCTTCCTGGTCGGGGATGACGGCAGGGTGTATGAAGGAGTCGGCTGGGACGTCCAAGGCCTGCACACCCAGGGGTACAACAGCATCTCCCTGGGCATCGCCTTCTTTGGCACCAAGGAAGGTAACGATGGCCTGGCTGACGCCTCTCCAGGGCCGTCTGTGCTGTTTCGCTCCCACTCTGCTGCCCTTCCACACAGCTCTGAGCCCCACTCCCTAGGCACGCTCTTCTCCCCTGGTGCCCGTCATGTCCTCCTGGTCCCCCCGGCTTCCTTCTCCACCCATGCAGCAGCCCCTCCGCTAGCCAGCTCACAGCTTCAGGCGCTCCCAGTGCTCCCTCTGCAGGCTTCTCTCCCTCTCCTCTGTACCAGTGACCTCACAGCCCCTCTCCAGCCCTGAGCTTTCTGCAGCTGCGGGCTGTGCTTCCACGTCCCGCCAGGCACCTGCTCTCTCCACCTCTCACTCCCAGACTTCCTACATGCCTTTAATAAGACCCACTTAGAGGCCTCTGGTCTCTGACTTCCTCCCACTTTCTCCTAGTCTATTGCTCCAAGCCCCCACCACCTGCTTCCTAAATGTGCATTCTCCAAATATCATGTAATCCAGCTTACCGTTTTCTTCACCAATACCTTTTGAGATAGCTCAGGCAGGTTTTATGGTTTCCATTACCACAGGGTGCAGCCCAAGACTCTGAGAAGCGGGTGACCCAAAGTGACAGAGCCATGAGGAGTGGAATGAGAGCACATGCCCTTATCTTCCATGCAAGAGGACTCTTTGTGTGTGGCCTCTTTATTTACTTATTTATTTACTTTTTATAGCTGTTCATTGGCATTTGTTGGCTTGCGGTTTTGAACATGTCACTTTGTGCAGCTTCCAGTGTGTCTTCATGGGATGGATAGCAGCACCAGCCTCAGATCTGCAGGAGAATTAGGGTTACTACAGGTGAAGAGCCCAGCTTGTGCCTGGCAGGGCTCTGCTCAGGGGAGCCACTGGCCTGACACTGGGTGCTGCCCCCGAACCCTCTCAGGTGCATGAATGGATGATGACATCTTGGCAGGTTATTGAGAAAGGGCTTCACTCTGAACACTGAGAGCTCTGTCTAGATGATCCTTGACTTTCGTGTCTCTGAGCGGAGAGGATGAGCCGTCTTTGCCTCCAACAGTCGGGTAGGGGCTGATAGGGCGTCTGGTCTTCTCCACACAGCTCCCCTGAAACCCAGGCCAGGCTGATATTTTCCACAAATTGCTCTCTCCCAGGCCAGAGTCCCAGCCCTGCGGCCCTGTCAGCCATGAGGGGCCTAATCTCCTACGCAGTTCTAAAGGGCCACCTGTCACGCGGCTACATCCAGCCACTTCTTGTGAAAGGTGAAAGCTGCCTGGCCCCTCTGCAGAAGGCAAGCCTGAAGAAAGGTGAGATGTCCAACCCCACTGGCTCCCTCCTCACCCCCTCTGACTCTCAGACGCTGCCGGGACTGACCCCTTCCCGGGTCCTCATTAGGTTCTTCCTGGTAGGCAGCTGCTCACCCAACTTTCTGAAACTTTGAGGCTGGAAAATGTGGAGAGAGGCACTCTGGGCCACCCAGAATGAGAGGGCCTGGCATTGTGCCTCCGTGTGTTCCATCGCTCCACAAACCTCTTCTGAGCACTTGCTAGACCAGAAAGACACACAAAGGAAGCAAGCACAAAAATCTCTGATCTTGTGGAGTTTCATTGTAGAGGCCGGAGAAAGACAACAATTACATGAACAAGTAAAATACTTGGTGTGTTATCTGGTAAGAAGTGCTAGGAAAGAAGAAAAGCCTTAGAAAGGGCTGTGATACATTTATACACATATCTGTGTATGCTTACACACAAACACGCACTTCCGAATTAAAAAACTAGGACAACACTGACAGACTTGAGTGCTGAGGGAAACTTAAGTCACCACTTACACTGACTTTGCAGGAAGAGCTTAACAGAGGTTACATAACTGGGTAAACACCATCAGTTCGCAAGAAGCAACATCAAAAGCAAAATCAAAACTAATAAAGTGGGCTGGAAGAGCACTTGTCTAGCAAGTGCGAGGCCTTGGATTCAGTTCCCTACACTAGTAGTAGTAATAATAAAAATAATAAGAATAAGCATAAGACTAAGACTTTTCTTGGGCTTCATGAAGTTTGGAAGGCATTATCCCCATCATCCTGAAGCACTGAATCGATTTGATCTCTGCCTTTGGGCCGAGGCCATCTGTCAATAATTGCTTCACGCTGATGGGGTTTATGGATCCCAATGACTCCCCAAAACATTCTTTCCGAATAAGACAACCAGGTGCCACTGCTGGGATGTCTCCTGCTCCTGAGTCCCACGGTTAGGGTCAAGATCAGGCCTGGGGCCAGGAGGGGGGAGCTGGGGTTTCAGTCACCTGAGGACCAGGCAGCCTTCAGTAGTCAGGTGGCTGACACAGGTGACAAAATGAGTCATCCATGTGCTGTCTCGTTCTCGCCACAGCTTGCCCCAGCATCATCCCGCGGGCGGCCTGGGGGGCCAGGGCGAGCCACTGCCTCACCATGCGGCTCCCGGCTAAGTACGCCATCATCCTCCACACGGCTGGGAGAACCTGCAGCGCAGCAGACGAGTGCCGCCTGCTGGTCGCAGATCTCCAGTCCCTCTTCATGGACAAACGCAAAGAGTGTGACATTGGGTACAAGTAAGTGGATCCAGGGCCGGGCTCCTTTTCCCTTGGTGGGGGCAGAAACCGAACCTCTGGAAGGAGTGGGAAAGGAAACTAACACGTTCCAACTGCTTACCACCTGACAGGCCCTTTAGGTGCCACCTCAGTGATTTTCCGCCCAGCCCTGGGTGGGCCCTAGGTAGGAGGCAGCCAAGGGTGATCTCAGAACATGTGGCTCTTTAAAGGTAGTAAATGGCAGGGAGGGTTCCAAGGCCGCCCAAAAGACAAAAGAGGAGGCAGCCACAGCTGGAAGCACGTTCCCCCTTGTGTTATCTGGCCGAACCTCTGCGTCTAAGGACTGGAACTCTCCTTGGGGAGAATATTTCTTCTCTGTTGAAGGCAAGGAGAGGGACTGGCTAATATCCTTTGATTTCTCTAGTGTTAAGGTCTGTGATTGTGCAATAAAGAGCACAGTGACCTAATGGAAGAGGAAAATTTTCTTTCTTTTTTCCTCATTAAGTGGGTTTCAAATTTCTGTGACAGAATTTTGGTCAAGATGTTTCCATGCAAGAATGTTAAAAACTAGTAATTTTAGCTGGGCATGGTGTTGTGTGGCTATACTCCCAGCACTCTGGAAGGCTGAGGCAGGAGGATTGCAAGTTCAAGTCCAGTCTGGGCAACTTGGTGACTTAGTGAGAGACCCTGTCTCAAAATAAAAGTTAAAACGGGGTTGGGGGTGTAACTCATTGTAAAGGCCCTGGGTTCCATCCCCAGTACCGCAAAAACAAACAAAAAACTAACACACAGAGAAAAACCCAAATGGTGAACAAAACAAGTACAAGTTTCTTGAGGATGCTTTCAGAGATTGCAAAACATCTGGGGTTCAACTCCATCCCAGGTACTGTCAGACAGGATCACGCTAAGTTTTAAGTCTAAGGGCTGGCCACCACTGGCTTACGTGGCCTATTTGTATACATTAATGAAGGAGCCCGCCTCGAAGGACGTGCCTGATTTAGCCAGTGTGGCTGGATCTCAGTCTCTGTTGTCCTCAGCCAGGCACCTTAGTGCATGATGCAGATTTCGGAGCTGTGAGCAGGCATCTGAGCTGACTGCACCTTTTCTCTCTGTCACGTTAGTAACACCTCTTTCAGGATAGGAGAATGGTTTTTTCCAACACGCACCATCTACCAAGAGCTACTAAATGCTTTGGCGGGCAGTGTCAGCGGCAGTGTCAACATGGTGTTCTCGTTCATCTCAGCAGACATCTGAAATTTGACTACAAATTTAAGAACACTACACTGGATAAGGATAGAGGTTGAGAGGAGATCTGTCCCCCTTTCCTCCTAAGATCCCTTGACTTCTGACTCTGATTGTGTCCCTTCCTAGTATAGCTCCATGCCGCCACTTTCTCACCCCTGACAGGCTGAGATCAGGGTGCACTCACGCTTTGGCCTCACGCACTGTAGCACTAGGTGTGCTCCGGGCGTGCCGTCAGGTAGACCACAGGCATGTTCTTGCTTTCATGGCATTAATACCCCACTGCAGTGGGGGAAGAGACTAATTGAACAAGTCCTGATGAGGTACCTTAGGGATCACGGCGAAGGACACATGGGGCTAAACAGGAGGCTTAGCTGGCTGAGGAAATGAGTGGGAAGATGTGGTCCCTGAGAGTCTCATGTTAATTGTGACCCGAAGAGTGCGTGGGACGGTGGAGGAGCCTTTCCAGCAGAGGGAGAGTTCTCTGTGGAAAGGTCTGGATGCCAGCCTGAGAACGGTGCCTTCGAGGAGCTGGGAGAAGCTCATCATGAAGCTATGGATGGCAGAGAGGGGTTGGCGGGGCTGAGGAGGCAAACAGGGGCCATGCCATGAAGGATCCTGTAACTTCAACCGAGGAATTTGGTCTCAGCACCCCGGGACTAATAGTTGGATTTTGACATGGAAAGATTTGTATTTTAGAAAAATTATGCTGTGTTTTTCTTCAGGGATGGATTGGAAAAGGGCAAAACTAGAGAGCAGTGAGAACTGAGGATTGTATCCAGCCAGGGAAGGCGACCTGGTGGCTGGGTGGTGGCAGCGCCAAGACATTCAGAGTCAGGGAGGGGAATGGCTAACGACTACAGTGCGGGGAATCGGGGAAGAGTGGCTGAGAGACACTGCAGACAAGGCTCAGCTGGTACGTGGATGAAGTGGGTGGGGTAAGGCCCATGATGGGAGCAGTGGACAGATGGGATCCCAAACGGAGAACAGGTGGGGAGGATGTGGGTTCAGTTGTGAACGCGTGGGCTTTTACGGACGGCAAAGAAACAAGAAGTAGATGGGTTTGTCCTGAAGAATGTATCGAGTGAGGAGAGAACAGGCCCAGGGCAGCAGCCTGAGGAATTCTATGTCTAAAGAAAGGGCACAGGAAGTTGAAGGGCAGAGAGGGAGCATCCAGAGAGGAAGAAAGCCAGGAGAATAGGGAATGGTGGACACTGAGGGAAGATAATGTTTGGGGACGGTAAGTGAGGTTTACATGGTCAATGTACAAAGAAATTAAGCCAGGAAAGACCAGAGGCACGTACATTGTACTTAGTGGTAAGGAGGCCTGGACCACCTTGGGAGGACAGTTTCATCAGAGAGCTAGGGAAAGGCAGGAACTGAAAGCTGTCTTCTTTCTTCTTTCTTGGTGAGCTTCTCGCAGGAAGCAAGTGATGTATGGGAGAAAGGTAGACATGAGCTAAGTTATGAGAACTGGTTGTGAGAGATTCAGGAATTTTGCAAGCCGGTTGTTGAATCATTGGTAGGCTACAATCCAGGCACGTGGGAATTTTCTTCCACAGAAATCTGCAAATGCTGTAAATCAGGGGTTCCCGTTTCCCATCTTGCCTGCCCACAACCCCAGCTGCTTTACTGGCACATCAGTGTTACAGACTCGGACTTACTTGTCTCTGGGACTTAGACTCTAAGAGATAATGTAACTGATTAACTTATACCTTGGTAGATTATAGGCAATAGGTAAGGGCCTGAGTGGATTAATAGATGAAGGTGAAAAAGAGTCTCAGAGGGCATCTTTTATGCTAATCTCCATCTCCTCTTGTGACCTCCTAGCTTCCTTGTGGGCCAGGATGGTGGTGTTTATGAAGGGGTGGGCTGGACAGTCCAAGGCTCCTCCACCCCAGGCTACAACGACATTGCCCTGGGCATTGTCTTCATGGGCACCTTCTCAGGTAAGTTGGGTGAGTTGGGTGGAAGTGGTCATCTGTGGTGTTTGGAGTGGGCAGTGTCGGATGTGGACAGCAGAGGTCAGACTCAGCCATCTCTGAAGTGTCTGCACATGCTGAAACATCTAATTTAATGTGTAACTAAGGATGACAGACTCCTAGACAGAACGCTCACCTGAAAGTACCTCCTTCACACACAGCCAAATGTGTATGTCTCTTTCTCTCTCAACGTCTAAGAAACAAACACTTGACAGGCATGAATTCGCAGAGATCTCTGGATAGTTTTAGATTATCTTAGCAGGTTTGTCCTTTCCTGGTTACCATAGCAGCAACGTGGGGCTTATGATGCCCTGCAGAGAGCCCTGACTGCATTGAGAGTACCCTTTATGGATTGTCAAGGCTCAGACCTCCCTCCCAGAACTTATTTATACTCAGGGGCTTTTAGTTGAATCTCTGGAAAGGGAGGCCCTGTACTGGGGCTGGTTCAGGCTGATAACTGCAGTGGGCATTGGATAGGGGCAAGGGTGACCCAGCATTGTGCCCAGCTGAGATTGGATCTGGGCGTGGTAAGAGGCAGAAGCATGTCTGTTATTAAAACAAGGTTTCCTAACCTCAGTGCTAACAACATTTCAGATCAATAAACTCTTTGTCGTGGGGTCCTGTGTTTTGTAGGATTCTTAGTGGTATCCCTGGCTTCTATCAGCTAGATGATGACAGCCTCCTCCCATCTCCCAGTTTTGACAACCACAGATATCTGCAGACATTGCCTGATATCCTCTGGGTACTAACCTGCCCCCAGGAGAGAACGGCTAGGTTAAATTTTTGCAGTGGAGGGCTGGGGATTTAGCTCAGTGGTTCCACCGCCTGTCTTGCAAGCGCAAGGACCTGAATTCAATCCCCAGTACCAAAAAACAAAACAAACAAACAAATAAATTTTTGCAGTGGAAAAAGGCTTTGTATGTATTCAAAAGAATTGTAATTTTTTTTTTTTTGGTACTGGGGATCGAACTCGGGACCTTGTGCTTGCGAGGCAGGCAGTGAAACCACTGAGCTACATCCCCGGCCCCAAAAGAATTGTATTTATTTTCCTTTTGATTTCAAGAAAAACGTTGGAACCGAAATATCTTGAGCTGGTTTTCTGCCTTTCCATAGTGTAGCGGCCAACAGTGGAATATACCAGCCTGGTGGTGGTGCTAAGCCGGGCGGGGTTCAGGAGTGTGTGCCGTCTGGACTGACACCCTGGAACCCTGCGATTGATGGGCGGCTGTGTTTTCCAGGCGACCCACCCAATGCCACTGCGCTGGAGGCAGCCCAGGACCTGATCCAGTGTGCCGTGGTCAAGGGGTACCTGGCCCCCAACTACCTGCTGCTGGGCCACAGTGATGTGGCCAACACTCTGTCCCCTGGACAGGCTTTGTACGACATCATCAGGACGTGGCCTCACTTCAGACACTGAGGGCAACCTCACCTCCTTCCGGGGCTGCTCTCCTTCCCACCGGGTCTGTCCTCACCTCCCATTTGGCCTCAACGCCTGTGGCCCTCCTCTGCCAGCCCCGCCTTGCTCTCTTTTCCCAGGTTGGGGTGATCATGTCCTCCAGCGTCCCCAGGTCCCCACGGCTGGGCATTTACAGCCTCCTCTGGGTCCAGTCTCTTCTGCCCCAGCCTTCCTGTCCTGAGTACCCACTCACTCAGGCAGGAGAGGCACAGGTTGGGCCCTGTCACACTTCTCTTTCCATCTGCATCTGCCTCTGTGCCTGAGGCCCATCCCCTGAAATCTGCCTGGCAGCACCAGCCCTCACCGACCACCCAGGCCAGGCTGCCCACCCCTCCTCTCTGCTCACACATTATTGCTTATACAGCTTTGGATGTTGCCCTTATTTAAAGCCTGTAATTATTTACGTGCATGTCGTATCTCTCCTGGATTCTAAATTTTTCCAGGGAGTAGCTTCATTCATCTCTATGTCCTCAGTTCCTGAGGCGTGTCTGGAATTTACTAGATTCTTTAGATGTTTGTTGAAGAAATGGAAGAATAAATAAATGAATCGACCCAGTCCCTGCTCACTTGGTCAGTTGGTTTTGTCCTGTTCTCTCTGAGAAATCTTTGTGTACGGGTTTGCCTCACTTGCATCCTCTCTCATGTTTCCTCCCAATCGGGGGCTCAGAGCTGGTGCAGGTAATGGGTGCTGAGTCTTTGGGGTCCCAAGTCCCTGTCCACCTGGTGTAGGCTGAGGGAAGGTACCACATGCTTCTGCAGGGCCAGGTCTGTTTCCTCACCAGCAGCCCAGGGTCTGCTGCCTACCTGTGTCCGGCCAAGGCCTGGGGGGCTCTGGGCAGGTGAGGCCTCAGAGTCTTGATGCTTTGCAGCCCTCTGCACTAAAGCTCTTCATCCTCCTTGCTGGAAGCCAGAGTTCTCCTTCACCCCTGGGTCTTTGTCAATAAGAAAGAGAGGTGAATAAGAGGAAAGCAGGAAAGATAAACAAGAAGTTTATCTTGTTGAAAATCTTTTTCATTCCTTGTATTTTGTCTTGAGTGTGTTTCTGTAGCCCTTACAGCATCAGAAGAGTTGTCATAATTTTAAATAAAATATGTCTGTGCTTTTCAAAGTACAGTATATCAGTGTCCCTGTCGGTCATCTGCTCTCTGGCTGTGTCATTTGGGTGGGAATGGTTTTCCCTGTTCCCAAGAGGCAGAGAAAGAGTGTCTCTTCTGTCACCAGTGAGGAGTTGTGACTCCTGGAGGGAACCTTGCCCAGACTCCTTCCCTGGGCTTTCTGCCCACCTCAGGCCTTCTGCAGGGAAGATGGACACAGACACAGACATTCCTGGCCTGCCCTCCCCTCTGCTGAAGGGTGTGGGCAGGAAGTGAGCAGGAAGGGGAAACTGAGCTTCTTTTAACTGGATGCACGAGCCAGAAACTGTCCAGATTTCCGGGACTGTGGCGAGGACCCTCCATGTTTTGTTCGGTTCTGTTTTCCCGGGAATCAGGACTTCTCAGTCTTTCTCTATTGTTTTAAGAGTTTAGCCTCTTTTCTCTCCTTCTACCCATTCTTTCTGTCTAAGCCCTTCCCAAAGGCACCAGGAAAACTAATTCTATGTTTGATTTATTAAAATTTTCCTAAATCAGTGCTAGCTTAAGTTTTTTTTACATACCGAATAAAATAAATCAAAGTGCTTGCTACATGAATGCAGGCTTAGGATTACTTTTCAGGTCCTCTACACACATAACCCCCTCTAAACTGCTCTAAAGAAGTTGTTGTCTAGCTTTCTGGAGTACCCCTGAACATCTGCACTAGGGACACTTGTAAACACATGTGTTTCATGCGGGCTGTGGGATCAAGTGCGTCACCGTGTGGCCTGATAAGCAGTAATCTCTGGTACATGTTACTGTCACTGTTCACTGTCATCATCGCCAGCAGCAGCACTCCTTTTGTTTGGTGTTGGCAGGCTGGGCGGGACATCTCAGGCACTAACCTCAGCTGCCCTGTAAGGGTTTGGTGTAGTCTGGAATATGAGGAAGAGGGAAGAGGAGCAGGTGTGAGGACACCCACAGCAAAGGGTAAATAGATGTTTAAGGTTCACTCTTCATGGACGTTTGAGTTATTAGGGATTACTAAAGATTTATAGGTCCACTAGCTTAGAGATTTCCAAAAGTCAAACCCTTTCTTCAAGTAAAGATGTACACAGACTTGGATTGAAAGCAGCAGGTATGGTTCAAATCCAGAGAGGGCAAACCAACTTAGTCAAGACCACACAGGCACACAATGTAGATTATAATCAAATCTCAAAGCACCTTTGATTCGGTCACTGTTTGGATAAAACACCTTCTATGGCTACTCTTGTCCAAGATAATAAAATAAAAAATATTCAGAGTGACATTAGAGATCTTCTATAACTGGATCCAAATTTGTTTCTGTTTATACACTCAAATAAATGAACATCTTTCTATTCTTCAGTCACACTGGGTGCTTTTGTACCTTCAGGGATTTGATCCCACCAATCCTCTGAACACCGCCCTATCTTTTTTCTCAGTTTCCAGATATTTTCCTCATAGTGAGCAGAACTTCAAGGCCTGTGCCTTTTCTTGCTTTGCCTGGACAGTGAGATACCTGCTGTGATGCCATTGCTTTTTTTTTTTGGTACCGGGGATTGAACTTGGGACCTTGCACTTGCACGGCAGGCGCCGGAACCACCGAGCTAAATCCCCGGCCCGAGATATCTGCTTTGGGCAGTAGCTGATGGTTTGGACCATATATGTGTTCATGGAAAGGTATTTGTGGCAGAGTAAACTTTTAATAGCCAGGTAGATAAAATTATCTGAACCCTTTGAGTTCAGCTCAATGGATTTGCATCTGGATGTGGCAGAAATGAAGCCCCAACAACAATGTGCATCCCCTCACCAAATCAGTCTGTGTACCATTACTGTTGAGTGTCCAATCTGCCAATAGCAAAGGCCAACAACATATTTCCAACAGACTGGGAGATCCAGCCACCACCTGGGAACAAACCCACTATCTTGGACTCCTTCCAGTATGGACAGGGAATTGATTTTTCTCCCTGGAATGAATACTTGAGACAGCTCCATTCAGCTTCCATGCAATGCTTCTGCCGGCATCACTACCTGTGGACCCCTGGATACCCTTATCTCCACCACTGCATCCCACTTAGCATTATTTTTGACAGAGATACATGTTTGATAAAAAGAAAAGTGTGGAGGAAGATGACAGCAATATAAAATTTGAATCTACCCAATTCCCTCCCATCATAAAAAGTCATAAAGTGACTAGGATGGTGAAAATAAAAACAAAAATCACAGGCAAAATCAAGATAATTAGGCAACAGTGCATTTATAAACTTCCAGATTCAGGCAGGTGGAGACAAACCATGAAGAGGCAGGTGGAGACAAACCATGAAGAGCCAGGAGATCGCAAGCATCCTCACAAGGGGAAGCAGAGGGAAGAAACTGATTTGAGAACTTCAAATAACTAAAACATACTCGCCCAGAAGGTTAGCCAGCTCAGTGGCCGAGGTCAGGAGATACCTGCACACCCCAATACTGGGTGAATCCAAAGGGCTGTGGTGAGGTCCGCCAGAAGTGGAGCAGGCTGGTCCTACGACTCTCAAAATTTATCAGCCGGGGTCCTTTCCAGAACAAAGGCCCACAGGGAAGAACTCCTGGGCACAGAATCTAAAATACAGCAGGGATGAGTAATTAAGTAACAAGAAAAAGATCGGTATAAAAGTGGGGAAAGGAATGGAGCAAGAATCTAAATCGAAATCTAAGCCACATTGTGGTTGAACATATACTTGACAAAAATAATAGAAGAATCTCTAGAGTGTTGAGATTAGACAAGTTATCCCAAAGTTAAATTCTCTTCAAGGATCAGGAAAACTCCTTTCACATAAAATAAGCAACTGAAAGGGATTGCAGTCCATCCCCGTACCAAGTTATTAAAAAACAAAAAGTATGATCAGAAATAAGAAAATAAAAGCAAGGATAAGAGATGCAGCTCGGTAGGACACTCACCTAGCATGCATGCGGTTTCGGGTGAGTCCCCACACTACCAAACAAAAAGGCATTTCAAAAGCATAACACAGACAAGCGCCAAGGCTGTTCATTTGCAGGCCTGTCTGGGGCAGTACTCACTCTGGCACCATGTCCCGGGAAGGAACATCTGCTGCTGTTTCCAGGTTCTGCTACTCATGGTCCCTTTTCCCACCCCAAGGTTTGGCATGATGCTGGCCACTCATCGGGCCTTGTGGCCTCCGGTATTAGTTGCTGTTGTTAGCTCTGTCCCTTTCCCCAGCTAACTTTCATGTAATTGGAAGCATGGATTCTGTGATTTTCATGGATTTGTAAATCTTTTTTTCTAAATAAAATTGTATAAATGTATGGTACAAAACATGATGTGCTGATGTAGGCATACATTTTGAAATGGTTACATCAACCTAATTAACACATCTACTACCTCACACTCCTATTGTTTAGCGATGAGAATATTTAAGTTCTACTCTCTTAGCAATTTCCATGGGTACGCTATACTATTACTAGCTATAGTTGCCAGGTTCTGTAATAGATCTCCTGGATTAATTCATCTCGTCTAAGTAAAACTGGATTTTGGCCTTAGGACTCTAGTGAAGGTATACAATTTTTTTTTTTTTTAAAAACTAGTTGTTCTTTTGCCTTTGCAGGATTATGAGGGGGTTGAGTGGGAAAATTTTATTCTAAGTACCTGATATGCTCCTCTATGGCCAGGAGACAAAGTGACTATCTTAGATACGGGATTTGTTTTCTATTGCTGCCTGTGTGTCTTCCAGTCAGTCCTCACAGGGCTGCAGTCCAGTTTGACGGGGCTCAGGCAGGAAAGAATCTGCTCCCAAGCTCAGTGCGTTGGCAGCATTGGTTTCCTCTAGGCTGTGTGACTGAGGTCCTGTTTCATCGCTAGATGCTGGCCTGGAACACTCTGAGCCCCAGAGACCTCCCTCATACCCTCGTCATGGCCCTTTGCAGTCCCTGTCACTGCCTGACAGTTTCCTTTTCTAAGCAGAGAACCCCTCTCTTCAGAAAGCAGTGCAGCTAAGTAACAGGGTCTCATCCCATTGACTTTGAGTTCCTAATTACAGTATTGTATTAAAAATGAAAAACTTTATTGTATTAAAAATTCAAAGTGCTCTTTCATGTGTAATAATCTGATTTATATAATTTATACTAAATGTACGATAATTTTTATCTGTGGAAGGAACATCTGTAATTCTCATAAAAATATGTCTGGGCTAGAAGCAGCCTTGCCTCAGATTTTCTGCCAGTGAAACCTAGGTGTCCTTTATTCTGCCATCAAGGACTATAGGGCTGTATCTATTTTGCATTCCCTTTTTGAGCTGCTACCACTCCCTTTATCCCTTGGCTTTCTTCTTTTCCAAGCTTGAACCTCTGAGTCAGACAGGCACCTCCGTTCTCTTTAACTTTCTCCAAACATAAGTTCACAAACTATATTTATTTTAAGGACTGAACTACTAATCATGGTGGTGAAACACGCAGCCTTAAAAATTTCAGATACGTAGACATGACCAAGGTTTAAAACATGCATAAGTTGGTGTCTGTCATTGTTGCCAGTGACAACTTCCGATTCCCTTGTAACATGTCCCTCCTCAAGAGCCTCTTCTAGGATGCCCCACACCTCTGGACAGCGGTGTGCACTATGCACATCCCTTTCCAAGGCCAACAGGCGCCAGAAGCTCTGGGTTCTGTGCAAGATCCTCCCGGCTCTGGCCCTGAAGTGCAGTTTGGCTGATCAGTGTGTAGAACATGGTTCCTCAATCCCCTCTAAGTGGCAGAGTGATGGCAGACATCTGGTCTGACCATGCCATCTTCAGGAGCTGCGATTCAAGTGCCTTCAACAGAGAAAGTCTTCTGCATAAATGTACCTTCAGTGATGGTACAAGGAACCTCAGAGGCAGAGCTGGAGACAGGGGCTGCTGTCAGGAGTGGCTGAGAAGGCAGAGGCTGTGGCTCTGTTTCACGGAACAGTTTGATGTTGAGGTGGGGATGGGGGATGAATGGTCACGGTGGCCCAAAGGTCAGAAGGCCCAGTGATGCCACATTGTGAGGTGTGAACACAGCTGGG